TCTCTTAATTTGAAGGTAGTTTTTCTCGTGGCATTAAATACCTATTGAGAAAATCGAAAATGACCTCTTTGAAGTACCACCTTGATCCGATTTTTTAACACATAAGGTACCTACTATATACTAAAATCGAAGCATTCCTTCTGGTAAACATTTTGTATACAGAAAAAAAAATTAAAACAAATAAACACCTCAGAACCTAAAATATTTTTTTTAAATGTGGCCCTTAAAGAAGACCTTATAATTTTTAACAATAATAATAACACAGCTAGTGACATAATGCTCTATTATAATAAATTTAAAGATGAAAACAAAAATACAAATATAACGTTTAAAACGGGTTTTTCCTAGAGATGTAAGCTCGGTAAATTTACCAATTATTTTTTTACCAAAAAAAATTTGGCATCCGGCAAGTCAAATTAAACGGCTAATAATACGGGCAAATAATCATCAGTCATAATATTAATAAAATGTAATAGTTTGTATTATAAAATGTAAAACGTCCATAACCACTGATAGACGATAGTGTAGTACTTATAATACATAACATTAAACATACGAATACACCATAAGAATATCTGATATGGACAATTATTATCGCAAACATAACTGTATATAAAACAATTTTTTTAATCGAATTATATTTAAATAGGTATTTATTTAATAATTGGTGGATTAATATCTGTCACAACTGAGTAATGGTTTCTATGTACGTAACACATGTATATAAAATGTTCAATTACCTTAACTCCGTCTTTGTAGGTACCATTCTTACCGAATAACTGTCAACATTTACGGTAATTTGTATTCAACAAAAATTTGGTTTTAGGGGGGTATAAATGTCCTAGCTTATAATTACCGGCTAGTTAAGTATATCCACTAGGATATTATATTTATACCTACCAGGTCAGAGTTTAATTTATTTTAGGATATATTATAATTTATTTCTATATAATATGATATATCAATCTACAAGCCAAATATTTTGAAAATGATATACCTAATGAAAGCAAATATCTATTTGATGCTTATTTCAAGTAAGTATGACAAACTATTTTTGAACAACAAACGGATCGTTGATTATATGCTAGGATATTTTTACCCCCTTTAAAACACATTTATACCGAGGGAGTAAAAATATTCTACTATAAAAATTCAATGGGAGGTAAATGTATTCTAGTATATTTGAAACAGATCGTTAGTTATATGCTAGGATATTTTTAAACCCCCTTAAAAACACATATATACCGAGGGGGTAAAAATATTCTACTATAAAAATTCAATGGGAGGTAAATATATTCTAGTATATTTTAAACAGATCGTTAATTATATGCTATGATATTTTTACCGGCTGGGTAATAATATCCTAGTATATTTTTACCCCCCTGTCGAATAATTTTACCCGGGGGGGTAAAAACATTTGAGGGTATTAAAATCCTGCGACACCGGGCCGCGGAGACAGTCAACACCAAGACAACGCCTTAAGCAACTTATTTCTTTGGAATGTTAGCTCCCCGAGTAATACTCCCTGGCAGCCGCATACTGTACTAGCAATCGCTAAGGAAGGGCTGTCAGTTCGTGGGAGCGCGTCTAAGGGCGCAGTTGTTGTACAATTAACCATTTTGTTTTGATGTGCAATAAACGACGGTGGCCGGAGGAGAAGCAATGTGAGCAACAGTTACCACACCGGCTTTCGATTAAAACAGAAAAAAAAAATAATATAACTGAGCATCATATTTTGTTGATAGATATCTATAATATTATAATTTATAAATAATAACAATATGAATTTGGTTAAGGATACAAATTTTAAATTATGCAATGAAACATGTACCTATTTTACCTACATCATGAATAATTAGAATATTGAACTAACACAAGAATATTACAATATAAATATGTTATACTAATCATAAAAACAATCACATGTGCTGCACATACATACAAAAATGGTTAGTTTATATTATAATACAATAGGTATAATTATATACATGATACTAATGATATTATATACATGACATAAATATACCAAATCATAAATAAAAAAATTTAGATATCATGTGATTGGGTTAACGTTGTCGTTGAACGATGAATGATAATGAATTGAATGTTATAATATTGATTATTATTTAATGTTCCTAGGTGCAGTACTAAAATATAGCATTTTTAGTTTTATAACAATTTTTTATAATAACAATTTTTTCTATCACGTAAAATAAAATTTGCGTCAACGGGTGTCAAAATAAATTCAAATTCAGTTTTCAGTTGTCCCTCAAAGCCGATGTGAAATTGTTAGACCATTTTTAAAACAAAGTTATAATTTAATAGTTGTTGTTTTCAACTCAATTAGATCTTATTAGATTTTGCTGACCTCTGCTAAGAGAATTTTGAGTTCCAATTCTATGAATTGCTTCCCAGGACATTTTCGTTCGAAACAGCCAAATGGTGTTACCAAAAACAGTGAAACGTACGTCTCATTGTCCTTGTCCGTCCATCTTTCCGAGATGTACGAGGTATGGTCTCAGAAATTCCTTTCGTCCAAACACGCCAACCAAACACGTCTACATCAACACGATGGTCTAAAATAAAAAAAAATTCCTAAACCTACTCACAAAAAAAAAAAAAAAACATGACACCAAAATATAGATACATGGAGCATTGTGTTTAAGTCTGGAGAACACGATATGAAATCATAAGCGTATCAATAACTATTTTTTTTAACATCATATTAATGCGATTACCTGTGAGCTTCCATTATACATGCATCCAAATATTCGGCTTGTTTTAAATGTTTATTGGTAATAGGTGTACCTGCTGAAGTCAATCGTGATATCTCGTTGTAATACTTTTCCTGTACTTCCGGATGTATGACGATCAGGTACAATCAGTGATGTAAATTGTAGGTATAATACAAATTGTATAATATTGTATTATACATTTATATTTTATACATAATGTATAAAAAAATAAAATACAAATGGTATAAAAAAAAATCTGTGATAAATGGTAGATCAATAATAAAGAGAAAATATATGTTTCGACTGATAACAGTAATACAACGACGGAGCACAGCCACACGTCAAGTACCTAACATGGTTATTGGTAGTTGGTAGTCACTAGTCACGATCATAGGAAAGAGATTATAAAGATCAACACCAAAGAACTATTCTAGTCATAGATCTATTAACCTAAGTTCTATGTTTCTAGTAGTAAACATTTGTAAATCGTTCGCAAATAGTAGTCTGATATCTTACTGATAACTGATAAGTCATAAGTTATAATCGTGGACCGCAGTATAATATTCTACTAAATTTGAATAATTCTATTTAACTGTACCTACAGACTACAAGTTACAATTAATTGAAGTTACTAAACGTTAGTTATTATTTCTTTTTACTATGGGTCGACCTTCAAAGCAAAAAGCTATTGTTGACATATATTTTACCAAGTATCATGATTTATGTTGGAAATATTGAAAAACGAAAATGCTTATTTTGTAAAGAGGCTTATGCCTATAATGCATTTCGTTTGGTAAATAAATTCTTAATATGTACAAAAACTATTCATAAAAGTAAACACTTACTAATTAAATAATTACATAGGTACAAAAAAATGTTGCTCAACACAAAAACCAAAAGTCTATTAAATTAATTTTAAAGCTATAGGGTAAATTATGTCTCACCTTTATTATTAATATCACTACCTATAGTTATAACTTATTATAAATTATAATTAATATTTATTACTTACATTATATTTTGTATGTAGGTATATTAAATTAATGAGCTGTAATACATTTTGGTTGAAAGTTAATAAAAAAAAAAATATTTTATATATTTTAGCTTTCTTTGTAAACTGTAATTGTTAACTTGACAAATAATTAGTGTATAACGTTTATTTCGGTATGTAATTTAATAATATTTAAAAGTAATATAACTCATAAATTTAATCTAGAAATTTACTAGGCTAAACTGGTGTGACAAATAATGAATGCTATAGTAATGCTATAGATCATCTATGTTGATTGTTGAACAATTTGACAATTTTGGTGCGCAGCCAGGTTTTTTGGCAGAGTGGGCCTAGCCGATGATACATAGGTAGGTAAAACAAATTTAATTTAATTGATAGATTTATACTTTCATATAGGTACGCATCACATTGCTGACTAAACATATATACAGCATAAATACAATCATTCAAATATAAAGCTATGGTAGGGTTAAAGATTTATAACAGGGAATATCATAAAATAAAATATAAATATTATATAATATATATATACCAGCGGCATCTACTCCATCACAAGAAATATCGTCCATTATCAATGGAACAATTTAATTTGTATATACAAATTATATATATTATATATGAAATTAGGTAGGTAATTATGTTATTATTCATTTTTCATTATATAATAAAATAAAAAATTACCTTGCTTAGATCACAGAATAAGATCTATTACGCATATTATGATGATGATCTAAGTCAGAATCTATATGTAACAAGTATGGTACAGCTAATACGCTGCACCCAGTGGTGAAGCAAGCGGGTAGGCCTGGTAGGCCCGGGCCTACCCACTTTTCTCCAAAAATAATTTAACAAAATTAAAAACCTACGGTTTTTAATCGGTTCTGAAAATCGGTCGATCACACGATTTTTCATTAAAAACTTATTTTAATTTAAGTGTTGTGTGGTCATCGATTGGTTCCTGTTTATCGGCATCCGGCATAGATATGAATGCACTAGGTATGATAGTTATTAATCTTATCCATTCGATCGTACCTACTAGTCGCACTGCGCACGCCGTTGGTCAGTGGCGTAAATAATTGGCCTCAATTTCTGGTGGTGCAGAGACATATTTTATTTTCTAACCCGCCAATACTTATTTCCATTAAAAATCCCCGCCCAATAAACATTTTTTTTTTTTTGTAAAACTAATAAATAAGAATTATTTTAACAGTAAAACCTTTATTATTTGTAGTTATATAACAATAAAATTTTTTTTATTTTAAACTGAGTCGACGTCCTCTTTCAAGACATGTTGCATCAAACTCATCAATTACTTGGTCGAAATCAATGCAATAATTTTTTTCAATTTGTAAATTGGCTAAACTACTTAGACGTTCTTGCCCCATCGTCGTTCTAAGATATGTTTTCAACCTCTTTAGACAGGAAAATGAACGTTCGCAACTTGCTGTGTTAGTTGGTATGGTTAAAAATATTTTTAAAGACTCTGTTATTAATGGAAAACCTTTTTGAATATCATTTTGCCTTATATAATCTATTTTTGCTTCCAATTTTTCAGATACTGAAGTATTGTCATATTTTTGGTTAAACATTCTATTAAAAATTTCCAACTCTATCTTTAAGTCATGTGTATTGAAGTTATATGTGTCACTAACTAATTTTAATAGATCCTCAGTTGGTTTTTCTGACATAAATATTTCACTTAATCCACTTATAATATCCATTTGATTTTCTTTAAATCTATTTTCCATTTCTTGTATTATTACATCTAAAACTTTAAAGTAAATGGTAATACGGTAATTGTCCTTAACTAGGATACTATTTGACTGTGTTTCACCACCACCTAATTTGAGAGGAATGCTTTTTTTTCTTTTCAATTTAGGATGGATTTATGGATTCATCATGGCCACGGATAGGTATCCCTTGTCTACAACAGAATAATAAATTGTCTAACAAAATTGTGATGTACTGTCTATTTTTTTTGACTGATTCTTTATATTTGGTATCAATTATTGTTGCTATGCTTCCGACCTGATTGCTTGAATTAAATCCAGCCATTTTTGCACAAGATTCTTTGTGAGAAATACTTTTTTCATGATTAGAAAAAGCTTTATTAGCTCTATGCCAAGATTTAAAACCAATTAATGTAAATGAGTCTTCACCATTTTTATTTGTTGGTGGAAAACACCGACAATAAAAACAGTAAGCTGAATTATTTATTACACTATATTCTAACCAATTATATAAACTATACCACTCAACTCTGAATACCCTACCATTAACCTTAGGAAATTTACAGTCTCTTGGTTGATATGGTCCAAAATTTTTTTTCATGAAACTATAGGCATGTTTATTCAATGCTGGATCACGGTCATCACTAGAGTTCAATTCAGATTCTATGAAAAATTAAGAAATATAACATTAAGATATTATTACCTTTAGCTTTAATATATTTGAATCCATCTTAGGTAGGTAAATGCATTTAAACATCTAAACCATAAAGCATCCAGTTTTTTTTTAATACACATAAACAGATAATTCATACAACAATCTTTACATTTTCAAACTTTAAAATAAATGACTAATTTAAACATTTTAAACCAAATTGACTTGATTTTGCATTATATACCATAGTAAGATTGACTGTGTTCACAGAATACTTTTAATTTTACTGTTAGTTATTCTAAAAAAAAAAAAACAAATTCACTATACACAAATAAAAATAATAAAGTACATGTAAAATTAATCAGATTAATTTAATCTCTACATTAAATATTTGGTTTTAAGACTATTAAACTTAAACATAAGGATAAATAAATTTCAACAGCACCAATTGTTAATCACACATAGTTAGTTTTATAACATCTAAAACATAAAATGTACATATAAGTAGTAACACAAACAAATAAAAATTAAATTATTTGGCTTTTAAAACACATGAGAATAGAGAATAATATTTTTTACCCAATTTGGTATCATTTTCAGAACTTGGACCAGGAAAGAGATTCTGATTATTCTGAGACAAGTCTTGGTTGATTATAGCACCTATATTTTATACAAATGGAATTTTTAAATGTTTTTCTATAATTTAATACTTTGAAGCACAGTTAACTTACTATTAACAGATTCGTTTTTAAAAAAATCTTTAAGTGTCTTCATTTTTTTCGGTTCACTCATTTTTAGACAAAAAAAAACCAACAGATTACAGATACCAAATTAAAATCTTTCAGTGAAAAAAGAAAGTAGAAACACTAAACTGTCATGAGTTTGTGAACTCGAATCGTATAAGCGTAAAATACTAAAATATTAAAAAGATTTAAGAAAGTACTATGCAATCTAATGCGATTACTGATAACACAATATAGTCTGTATTGGCGGTACAACGTTAATAACAAACATGAACTATGGTTAATTCATGATAAATTGATAACAATTGATAATAATCACGGTAGATACGACATACTAGGACCTAGTACTGGTAGTCTGGTAGTGGATGGGACAAGATAATAGGTTTTTATATTGATAATATGGATACGGGAATTTGTTTTTGTACGATATCTAATGAAATAACCACGAAATAATATGATATTATGAAATATAGGTATAAAATTTCAATGATTTTCTGGTGGTGCAAAAACATACCTTTGCACAACCACATTTTAGATGTGGTGGTGCAAGTGCCACATTTGCACCACCCAGTTTACGCCACTGCCGTTGGTATAACCTAGTGATTATTTTTCGCTCTTATTAAAGTTCAGTCCGTCGCAGAAACTCGTTCCTTCATTTTCAACAAATGAAACGGTTTTTGGTCACACCAGGCCATTTAAAATCAACTGCTGTTTCAACCGTTTCGGTTTCTGAGACTGATGACCCCGGATCAAGTGCTCGTACATCAACGTCAGATAATAATAAACAGTTGAATTTAACCATTTTTGATATAAGTGTGACTAGTGATAAAACCGCCGTACAACCTGTAGTTAGTTTTCTTCGTACTCTTATATCTTTGAAGCAACGCAGCTTTCAAAGAAGTTGGTACAATAAGTATCTATGGTTGGAATACTCTATTAAGATGAACGCCGTATTTTGTTATTAATGTCGTAATTTCCCTTATCATTTAAAAATTGAAAAAGATGTTCTAATTACTGGTGGATATTCTGATTGGAAAAATATAAGTAACATGAAAAAAAAACACGATACATGAAAATGCAATACATAAATATGGCGCATGGCTATCAACCAAAAAAGGTGCTCTGCAGTACAGTAGCTTACAATTTGGTCACTGTATAGTGGATGGTATTAAATTTGAATTCAATGATATAATATCATTGTATAAGAAAAACGATTCTGAGCGAAGACGGTATGTCAGTCTAGGTATAACACAATTTATATACATATCTATAATGGTATTAAAAAAAAAAAATGAAATATAATAGGTACCTATATATCACAATATCCATTAGGTACTTATAACTCGTTATATATCAACAAAAAACCCTGATCTTATCATAGATATATAATAGTGTACTTTAGAAGTTCCAAGTTTCCACAATCACAACAAAATAACTAAAATAGTTATTCTAGGTTTTTTATTACATAATTTTGTCCAAATTTGAACTTAAAATGACAATAAAAATAAACTATGCTTCTGTATTTTTTAGATTTTTTGGTAACAAAATTAACTACCTACGTGGAATCTTGTTTTAAATTTTTAATCCTTAGATATAAAATTTAAATATTTTATAAATTTTTAACTACAAAATAATTATTCAATTTTAAATTTGATAAATTTTGTCAAAATTCGATCTTTAAATGGTTATAAAAAAAATTTGTGCCTATGTATTTTTAATATTTTTCAACCGATATTGTAACAATATATCTGGAGCCTTGTATTAAATTTTTACACTTTTTGGCAGAACAGATAATACTTTATTGATATTTATAGAATAAAAAACTAAAAAAATTAGAAACTGAAAATTAACATAAAAAATTAATAAATAATAAAAAAAAACACACATCAGTGTAAAATCAATACATTCATCGTTCCACTCAGAATCTAAAACTGGAACAGTTTTGACTGAAATAAATAAACAAGTCAAGGAGCAAGTTATAAAAAATCGAGCTATTTTAACAAAATGTAATACGATCTGTTTTATATTGTACACGGCTATATATTGGACTACGAGAACATAAAAAAAGAAGAAAAGAAGAATTGGAAATTGAAAGTTGTGATGCAAATATGTGGCCACGTCATGACTTAAATGAAGGTAACTTTTTAGAAATTTTAAAATTAGTTTCTATCGAAAATGAACATTTTAAAACAAATTTTAAATTATTACCTAAAAAAATCAAAATATACAAATCGCCTTAAATGCAAAATGATATAATGATCAAATCTTGTTTTACAACTGATAGTGTTAACGAAGTTCATTCAGGGAGCCAGATATTTAGTTACATTGTAGATGAGGCTTGAGATCAGTCAAAAATTGAAGAAATGAGTATTTCCAAGATTTCAAAATTAAAGAAAGATTTTTAGGTTTAGTTTAATTGAGCGAATTAAACGGTCAAGCACTGTGTGATGGCTTAATATTATTTTAAATAAATAATATTTAATTAGTATGTGATTCGTACATAAATATATAAACAGAAAAAAGTGTCTAGCTACGCCACTGGCTGCACCATTATAATAGGTAGGTAGATAAGTAGATTCTATTTTACAACATTTTTACCATGGAGTTCTTATATAGTTATACCTAATGTTGGTTAGGTTTGTAAGAAGTAAGTCTTATAATTTAAAAATAAAAACTAATTACAGTGAGATCGATCTCCTGTGAAATCCAATCATATTGAATCCAAGTAGACTTACCGGCAGGCTTTTTGAATTTTCGATAAATGCCAATTGGGTACTTCGACACGAATCTTACCAGGCCTAGCACTATGAAACATTTAGCTTTGATGTAGGTCCATACCTGTGAAATATAACAGTTATTTAAACGGGTTAAGCGTGACACACGAATACTTACTTATACTGTGTGTATAGGAGTTCAAGAATACTGTTTATGTAAAATATTATAATATTGTTAATATTTGAGACCTGAGAAAAAAATAAAGAACATTTGTCAGTACGCAATGACAAGAGAAGTCAGTACAAAATAACGATAAAAATAAGACTAGAATATTGACTCACCTTAGTGGCTAAGCAGCAAACAACTGATGTACGGACGTAAAAGTGTTGGAATTTGTTCAACAAGTTCACGTCGTTACCGTGCTTCTATCGGTGCCTTTTAATATTACGGACTAAGATTAGTAATTGGTTTTAGTAACCAAAGATCGTTGTTTGTTTAACGGGCTTGCAGTGTATGGTTTTGATAACAATTCCAATTGGTTGGTCAACACGCTTTATCTATATTATTGTAAAAAACGGTTGTTCAGTAAACAGAAAACTTACAAACGCGTTGTACGTTTGCATGAAAACACCGAAAATCGTGGACTTTGTAAGGCTATAACTTAAAACTAATGATTTTCGGCAATTCATTTGTGCAACATCGTTCTTAACTCGTTGTAATAATATATAGGTTTCTGAAAAAAAAAAATTTTAAATTCTAGGGGTGCTAAACTAGATTGGTTCTCAATAAATTATTATAAGTCTATGTAAGTACATATTATATTATTAAATATTATTAAATGGTCTATGAGGGTCTACGTTGACTAAATTACAGGCTGGAGGCAGTATTTGAAGACGTCGAAGCACAAAGTCCTACGTCCACGTAAAACGGATTCAACATACCACATTTTAGTTAAATAACTAAACAATATCTAGTTTAATAATTAATATCAATAAAAGTTTAAAAGTTAACCAAACTTACACTATATATACTTAGTATGCATTTACCTAGTATAGCATATAAACTAGACTAAAAATCGAATAATATTAACAGCGAGCACCGATCCAAAGAGATTATAATAATATATATTTACATCGTTTGCCACTAAAAGAGGTCAGTGATACACTTTTACACCAATATAAATAATCTAATAATATTTAGTAATGGAATAGATAGTATTAGAAACCACAATATACTATAAAGCTCATATTGATTTTATTAATACTTAACATAGTAGGTAACACTTTTTTCAGTCAATTATTTCTATTCTAAATAGACGTGTATATTATTCGTTCGCATTTATGGCCAAAATTTCTTAAAACTCAAATATACAAAATTGTATATGAAAATAAAATTAAAGGTGGTTAAGTGGATGTCACTCTGCGGTACAGTAGGTGACAAGTGGGTCACTGTATAATAATATGTATTTACGGTAATTTGTTTTAGAGTTACATCAAAAACCAAAATTGATTTTGTCGAAAACCGAATTTGTGTAAAAATTCCTGGTTTTCCTTAAATTGTTTTTTTCTAAAATAAAAATTGTTGATCTTTTATTTTGTTGATGTTAAATTTTAGTACAGTTACAATTTTTGGCAGCTAATTTAGCAGGTTGGCCATGGCCAGGTTGGCCATACCCGTAAACATGTATTCTATGATGAATTCTAGTATTCGACTCCAATTCTGCAATTATGTCGGTACAAGTGGTGTTATAACATCACAGATGTTATAATTTATCATACCTACATATTATTATGTACATTCATTTAGATATCATACCAATATCTAGACTTAAACCAGCCCAACGACAACGTATAATATATATAAAAAAAAAGTACCTCGAATACGTGTTTTTAGTATAATATACCCATAACGTTTCTCTGTGGTCGTAAAACCCCTTCTCACCAAAAACTTATGCGCTAGATACGGCAATG